CCTAAAATATCCCAACTTAAATCGCCCGCAACGAAACTAGTTAAAAACATTTTCCTTCTAAAATTTATTTTGCAATTTTTTCTCAAGTATACTGTGGTTGTATAATTGTTTTGCTTCTTGTTTGTTATAACGTTGTCTGCTCTTGTTATAAGAACTTCCTTCGTCGGTGACGGTGACCTGATCTTAACGCCAGTATCAGTGCGCCCCGGTTTCCGGTTCCACGAGATGCTTTGTTTTCCGTTTCATTGTTCTGTCATCACTACTTAAGTATATTATTATACTTCATTCAATAAAGCGTATAACATTATTATATGACATATTATTATCATATTAAAATTTGGGGTCGATTTAAAAGTATGACTATTTATACAAAGATCTATTTCGTAAGATTTTGTCTTTAATTCTTTGGGAATTATATTTAACGTAGTAGTATGAAACTGAACTTCATATCAGCATTTACTTTTTTACTGCTGAAAAAAATCACCTCAAGAAGGAGAGTTTACCAGTAGTTGCCACACTTGGCAGGCAGGTTGGCAACCGCAGTTAGGCTTTGGTGATGTTTTAAGAGGAACGTTGCTGAACATCCCTGAAAGGAAGGGGTGGCTCATTCTATGCTGGGACCACATGCCAACTGAACTTAATTTTAGATTTTTATAATAATTAGAAAAAATAACTTAAGAATTGACCCTATTATCTCCATTATTGATGGAAAACTGGAATGTGATAATAGGTTTTTTTTTTTCTAATGCAGCTGGTAGGTAAAGGTCCCCATTGAATGGAACGAAGAGTATAAATATAATTGCAGTGCAAGGTGCAATAAATGCAGGTGGCTCAGAAACCGTTCTTTGTTACAGTTAATGCGTGAGCTCTATGTACAACAATGGACGATAAGTGACTGAAATTATATCGGTGTTGGAAGGATAGACAAGGAATATAGATAACCCCAGTTCATGTGTTTCATTAATATCAATATGCGGCAAAGGTTGCTATAGACTGCACGAACAATGTTATATAAGAATTGACAGGATCAGATTAACAATTAATTTTCAGGGTCCGTCATCTACCTTGAAATTATTGACGTATCATTTTTGATAGCATCATTATATGTATATTTTCACAAATACAAGATATAGTTTGTAATAAGGACCATACAATCACCTCAATCGCTTTGTTTTCGAGCTAGGATAGAAAGAAGATACAAGTTTAATACAGGATGTGAAACCATCTGGGGACACAGATCACTCAAATTTGAGCCAAGTCAGAAAAAAAAAAATTTTTTTTTGTTATTTAAAAAAAATTTTTTTTTTCACGCGAATACAGAAAATTCACTTTATTATATTTATAGGAGTCCTATGTGTAGAAATTTTTTCTCATTTTATGTTATGTATTTATTTTATTGTGGTATTATTCAAATCATTGACATTTTCCCCTTTGCGCTAAATTGTAATATAGGTGCGCAATGTGTTACCTGTCTCCATCGTCCTTGATTCCCATCTTCCATTATATTACTCTATTTTCCATTATATTAGACAGGCGCAGCCTTTATTAAGGAATGTTTACGGTTACAGCATCCGTTTGGCTTGTCAAGAGTAAAGTTGGTGAGTCCCAAAAGTTTGCAAAAAGGGCACCCATTTCACAGATAACGTTGTATCCGTCCTTTATTTGCTATGTAAATGTGAGATGAATTCATGGGTATATCCATTATGTCCTAAATATACGACATGTTTTCTTAGATCTATTTATTTATCACAAGAATTTCGTCCCGTTATTTTCCCCTTCACGTCTTTTGTTTGATGTTTTAGGGACGAAATACTTTGTATGGTTAGTAGCAGAATTTTTAAAAATTTTTATCGTTGTTCGTCGTTTTGGCTTTTGTAGGTACTTGATGTGTAGAATACTCGATTTCTAAGTTTCGTTTAATTTTTCTCTAACTCTTAACTAAAAGGCAGCTATTTAATGGTGCTTTTTTTTCTACGTCTGGATTATTTTTCTGCCTGTCATTTTCATTTTTATATAGTTCACTATCTAGGACAGTATTACTTGCGAATTTAGTTATTAGTCTTCAAAAATGACCAACTGTTTTACAACGAATGAATTAATACACCTGGAGCCCGGGCCCTACTTTATTTTTCTTGTTTACGGCCCGGTCAGTCTGTGTTATCTCATGAAGACGTATTTATCCCTTAAGGTCACCAATGTTGCCATGTTTAGTAGGAATTTATTGACATCGGAATGTAAATAGACTAAAATATATTTCTTTTGTGTTTTTTTGTTAAGGACTAGTCTTATCTATAATTTTGTACGTGTGCCCTGGATATTTGGCGTAACTGGGATAATACTATTTATCCCTATGCCCGTCTCCGTCTCGTATGTGTGTAGCAAGTTTCATGACGATTGGTTGAGGTGTTACGGCGCTGGGTGGTGGAAAAACTCTTTTATATTTGTAATATTATTAAAGATTTATATGGAGTATAATTGTAATTACTTTAATATAAGCATGTCTCATTGTATCTCACTGTGATAAATTGTGAAGAGAAAATAAATCTATTTATTATTATTATTATTAAGTATATGTTGATGTTGAATGTAATTTTACTTATTAACTAAATTACTTTTAGAATTCTTTATCCGTACAATATTTTAAAGCACATATAATATTTAGATACAGTATTTTTTTAAGCCAGACAACGAAAGAGAACCTCGTGCTAGTGTCTATTTTACTTACTTTGAACTGGCTTACCAAACATTTAAGGCAAATTCAATTCAGCCGTTCTCAAGTGATGCTTTTTCAGTAAACAACATTTACTTTTATTAGACATGTATTTAGATTTGTTTCAATATATTTTTTTGCAGGACAATGTCGCAAGAGAAAAATTATTTAATATCGCTGGAAGGAAAAAAACACAGCTTTGTCGCCGTGTTATCTGTCGTCTTTCATTCTCGTGGAAATTTCGAAAACCTTTAATATGGGGCTCTGTCATATAAAGAAAATCAGTGGAAAATCACTTGTTTAAATTTAGATTTTAACTTGGGTGTTAATTAGTCAGTTTTTATATAATATACCTGCATTAATAACAAAACAAACTCACTTTGAATACGTAATATTGGTATTGCTTATCTTTATGGGGCTCTATTACCATAATATATGTTATGGAAACTAGTACATCCTAATGATATTAGGTTGTGATTATTGTAGGTCTACCATGACATCAAATCCCAAGTTTCAGGCATGAATTCCGTTTAGGTACGATGAAATACGTTCATTTCCGAATCCGTTCCAAGACGATCTGTTATTAATACTATAAATTATGCAAACGATTGAAATTTCACAATTTTGTAGCAATTCTTTAATTATATTTTTAATATCAAGTTTTTATTTCGCTCGTCTTTAAAATTTCGTATAAAATGTCACGGTAGGGAAGCTATTTGACCCTGATGCGGGCGCATGTCAAACCAGGCTGATGGTCCGTGAATGGGCTGCGCCGGATCCACGCTCCGGTGCGCGTATTGTCTTCCGCGTTGCACCGCCGCCGCGCCGCGTCGCACGTAATAGCACATGTGGACCATTTCCGTGCATTATGTTATGATTTATGAGTATTAGCATTGTCGTCAACATATTTCAATAGGTATGCAATATAAAGATTAAAGTGAACGGAAGTAAGATCAACTCGCAACTTTGTGTCTTTTTTTCAGACTATTTTTCCGTTTCCTTCATAAATAATGTTTTGTGATCTAGGCATATTAAAGTTCATTAAAATTTGTGATTTAAAAACGTCGGTTCATTTTCCAGACTTGTAGTATTAAAAACAACCTTTTATAAATAAATTCTAAATTACAAGCCTAAGTAAAATAATTAGAGGCATTGTGCTAAGCTGTAGTTGTAGACTAACAAAAAACGGAAAATATTTTCATATTCTGTCGAGCATATTAAAATGTAACTTAGTAGGAAGCGAGCCTATCGTTGTTTAACGGGTTGCTATCATAAACTATGTACACCAGAAATGAGATAAAATCCCGGTAAACTTCTCGAAACTTGATAAGAACGGTTGAAATATCATTTTCCCGTGTAGCAATTATCTAATATTTGATTGTGACATCAATTTTAAGAATGTCATCTCAACAAGATTTATGATTCAAGTTTCCTAATAAATTACAATTGCTTCCTTCACGTTTCAACTCTGTTAGGGAAAATGCGATGAAATATTTTGCTTGTACCTTGTTATTAATTGCCTCAGGTCAGGACGTAATATGACATGCCTAAGTAAAAAAATGTTGGGGAAATTTATTTAATTTTGTAAATAAGGCCTTTTATGTTTTGTACTCAAAATGTGGTGTGTTTAGTGATTAATCTTTGTCTGTTCGTATAATATTATTAGGAAAATAAGAAACTGCCTGAAATAATATTTTTTCGATTAATTATGCAATCATACTAATATTATAAATGTCTTGTCCTGTGGTCCTGGCATAGAATAGGCCACCCCTTCATTTCCCGTGGGTGTCGTAAGAGGCGACTAAGGGAGGGCGAGTGATGGGCGGCGTCCCTTTTAAAACATATCTAAAGTCTAACTGCGGTTGCTAATCCGCCTGCCAAGCATGGCAACTACTGACAAAACTCCTTAAGGGGGAGGCTTATATTTAGCAGTGGATAGTTAAAGGCTGATGTGATGATAAACATTATAAATGTGAAAGTGAGTTTATTTGTTTGTTACCTTATAGCGCCTTAACGGCCTAATCAATTACTGTGAAATTTGGTATGCACGTACTATATGGATTGGGGAATCGGTACTCTTTATCCCGGTCACGCGATCGAAGTTGTGGGTAAAGGCTAGTATAATATAAATTACAGAGACGTACGATGCTGCTTGCATATGAATTGAACATTTTATTGTAGTTATGTATAATACGAGTTGCATTCTTCCAAACATTATTTCATAATACAACTAATGTAAATATATATTGCTACTTTATGTAAATAATGTTATGTTTTATTTTCTTTATAGGGAACGAAATTATGGATTATAATGGAATATCTCGGCGGCGGTTCGGCCCTGGACCTTATGAAAGCGGGCAGTTTCGAAGAGATGCACATAGCGGTCATCTTGCGGGAGGTACTCCGAGGGTTAGACTATCTTCATTCGGAGAGAAACTCCATAGGGATATAAAGGCGGCCAACGTACTCCTCAGTGAAATGGGCGATGTAAAATTGGCTGATTTTGGTAAGTGTTTTTGTGTTTTATTTTTTGCTAATAAAATGGTGCATCCATTTACGCTAACGGTATATAATGCCGAGGCAACAGTATAGGGTGAAATGGTGAATGAGTATAGTACTCACGAATTCACCTTAAATATTTTCGAAAAGGGACTAGAGGTAGACCTGACAGGGTATACTACTATTTTAATAGTTTACGGCTACTTCATTTGTGCAAAGTAGTTGCCACATAAATTTTCATGAGATTTTTACGATCCGGAATGCCAAAATAATTAACAATCATGGACCGATAAGAAGTATGGGTGTGGATATTTTAGAATATATTACCTAGTGTCTAATTCTCATAATATTGTTTCTATTCATGTGGATACTAAATCGCCATACTCAGTAATTTTATTACGTATCTCACCCTGAAGTATCGTTTATTTTATACCTATTACTCAAGAATAGCTTAGCATTATATTAGTGAGATAATTTTTAAAATAATTTCAATGGTAAAGTATAAATTATAAATGGTTATTAGGTATTTATAATTAACAATTATCGTTCCAACAACCGTTTTTTATATTTATGTCTGACTAGAGTAATTAAATACTAAGACTTACTTTTATGGCAATAATAGTTTTAATATGGAATTGATTAAATAACTAATGCAAGTTGATTTAATATTCTAACCCGAATCCAAAGTAGCCTTCTAATTGAAAGGGATTGCTTTAAATTAATGTCTAAAATATCGCAACCGTTCAAATCCCCGCTTTGCTCCTCGAAAATAATTAATAGAAGGTTAATTAGTTCACTTCTAAAATATTGGCTTGTCTAATCTTTTAAATTGTACTTTTTCTTTAATACAATATTTTCTTCTGCTTCCAATTCTTAAGTCTAGCACAATCTCGGGTCAGATCTTCTTGTACTTGTACAGTGTCGCTAGGACGCTTTGTTGCAGGTTGTTATCTCCTTTTTGACATTGGACCACTATGTAGTGGGAGATCATCTTTTTACCACCCGTTTTATAGGGATATTTATGAGTTTTTGCCGAGAATCTACCTATAATAAACTTGCGTATCTATTTAAATGTATATCCGCACTCGTATATAGGAAGTAGTAAATATGTTGTTATGCATTATTGATTCAAGATAGACTACTAATGTTAGCGGGCCGCTCCTACAACTATAAAACGAAGCGATGCGTGGAATTCGAGCACGAAATATTTTACAGCAACGATCTAATCGATAATTTCTGATATAGCTCGCTGATGCTCAGGAATTTGTTATACTTTCAATTATAGTTATTTGGATTATTATTGTAAAGTTAATCGAAATTATTAGCATTTAGCCTGCTATTTCGTAAACGTGGATTTTAGAAGAAAGTTATTGAAATAAATCGCTTCTAAATAAGGCTGTCAAGATAAAACATACACCAGTTTTTAAGTTAGAACTATATGTGAAAACTGTATTTTCCATTTTAGTGCAGTACTTTTTGCGTGATGCCGGAATAAATAAAAAGACCAAATTAAAAAAAAAAATTGGCATCTATTGATTTATTAAAACCTCTAATATCAGTTTTCCATAAACACCATTCATGTACATACATTGTCTAGTTACAATTGTATTATATTAGTAACATCTCTTCCCGGACGAAGTAACGAGTACTAACGAGAGATTTTCGTTACGTGTATGCCATATTTCCTGACAATTGAACCGTAAATTGTCGTGTGGTGTAGTCCCGGCATAGAATGGGCCACCCCTTTCTGTCACGTGGGTGTCGTAAGAGGCGACTAAGGGATAAGCAGTAGCGTCACTCTTAAAACAACATCAAAACTTGACTCCGGTTGCCAAACCTCCAGCCCAGTGTGGCAACTACTGCCATAATCCTCCTTATGAGGGAGACCTATGTTCAACAGTGGACAGTTAACGGCTAAGATGATGAACCGTAAATTGTGTTCCTTACAATTTTTACTCTATATTTTAACTAGTGTATATTTATTCAATAGTTATCCTACTTAAACCGTCTTAAGAGAGCTTCTGAGATGTTTCTCTTGTCCTAGAATTACATAATCCTATTACATGTAATTTAAATAACCTTTCTCTGAATTAGAACACAAGAACATTTAGGTTTATTATCTGTTTTGTTAATCATAAATAAGAGGATGTACCATTGTAAAATTAACCATAAAATAAAATCAACTGTAGGGTATTGTGTATTCTATATTTTCTTAAGTGGAACTCAGCCATCTTGGATATAATAATATTTTGGTGAGACTATTAACATTATACCTATGAGGATGTACTATACTGTACTTGGTAACAGTATAGCACGAGTATATCCTCGAGTATTATAGGTTATGTCTGGTCCATAAATTAGGATTTCTTATGTTTTGAGAAGAATATATGAAGACATTTAAAGTTTTTGTAAAGTTTGTAGTTAATCTTATAGGAATGGATAAATGATTTAGCCTGTTTAATTTTTTTTTTTGAAAAAATAACAGACAATAGATAAAAATTTGAAAAATGATTTTGTCATACTTATTTAATTGTTTATAATATTATTAGCTTTTACTCGGGACTTCGTCTGTATGACCGGGATAAAAAATAGCGTACGCTCTTCTCCATTCCATATAGTATGTATTACCGAATTTGTAAGTGAATAGTTGAACCGTTAAGGTGCTAAAAGGTAATAAACAAATAAACAATCTCATTTTAGATTTATAATATTAGTAAGGATTAAGATGAATAATAAAATCTTTCTCCAGTTTCTTAAAGTACCCTTAGGTGAGACGACGTTTACTTAAAACATCTAATTAATGGTATGTATAATGAATGACGCCAAAGCAGTACAGTGTTAGAGATTTCTCTCACAATAAGCTAACTGCTGCCGTTGGCGACATTTTGGCTTTAATCCAATATTTGAACATTTACAAAGCGGTTCGTGTGCGCCACCAAAGACAACAGAAAGCCCTTTTGTTTTAGAATTTATAGTTATACTACAGTTGGAAGTGATAATTGTAGTTTCAAATACAGTAAAATTGTTATGTCTCTATAAATGTATATATTCATACAAGTATTAGAAATTAGTACAAAAGTTGATACTGCCGACCCTCTGCTGGTTCCTTAACAACTATTTTAAAAACAAAGGTAATACAATGTACTAAATCGTAGACAATATTAAAATTGTTTCTAACAGTTTGTTTATTATTTAAATAAGGATAGAAAAATTATATTTGATTTTTAAAATATAGTACTGGAAATTTCTACGAAACTGAGTCCGCCCTCCTGATGGAAAATGTCTTTTTTTATACCACTGAGATGGCAAATAAGCATACGGTCCACCTGATAGGAAGCGGTTACGGTAACCTATGAACGCCTACAATACCGGGGGTATTACGCGCGTATTGCTGACCTTGATAAAACCTCTACGTTTTTATTCATTTGTTTTTCGCCGTGTTTCGGTTTGAAGGGTGGGAATATTACAGGGTACAGAGGAATAACACCTGAGTTATACTCTGTTATGTTCTACTGCTCATTACTATAGGCGACGGTTACCACATTCCATCAGGTGGGCCGTCAGCTTGTTTGTCATTATAAGTTGTATAAAAAAGAAATACCCAATAATATGGTAATCACATATATACTATATCGCATCTCTTATATATATTCGTTCTTGTGAATTAAAATGATAAGCCTCTTATGTTGGAAATTCCATTGGCTTTCTGAAGAAATCTGTACATACAGAATCACAGTGTATGAATATTTTTGTACTTGTCTTTGATTTTTCTATATTATATTATTCAAGTACGTACTTTTTTGTGTCCAAAGGACACAAAGACTCAATATACAAGATATTTATGCATAAAAAAAGTGTATAATTAAGCATAAGACTGTAAGGTTTTTCCAGCCAATTCAAAATGGAAATGATCAGTAAACGTCACGCTTTTGGTATTATATTTAGGTTTTATAGATTGTCCTAAAAATGAAATATTTATTTTCCGGAATATCTGTTTCTATACATATATAGCCTGTTCAGTAGAATCTAATGAAGAGGTAACCGAGTTTTGTCGGGGGGGAAAGGGATTGTTAGTAATGGAGACTGAGAATCAAAATTGCTAGCAATATACCCAACCAGGTCGACCTCCTCGCGGGTCCCCTGGAAACTATCATGGTTATTACCTGATGAATTCATCATGATGGGCTAACTGGCCTGTTTTCATTCTCATCTATCACCCTTCACTGGTGCTCCGCCAGCGTATCCCGTTAGCGCCGGCGGGGTTACCATACCATTTTCACCCATAAAAAAAAAACCGAGTTTTGTCGAAATGATCACGAAAACACTCTAAATAGAATTAGTAACAAATTCAAACATTCAATTAATTACTCGATTATTGATTTGTATTACTATTGGATATCAGGAAACTGTTTTGTCATGTCAATTCCCAGCATACAAGCATATAATTTATTCGTTTACGCTGTTAATTTTTAATAACGATTTTTGACGTCAATTACCTTGGTTATCTCTACTCGAAATTTTATTAAAATTGTTGCAGAGATAGTCTAGAAAAATAATAGATGCAGACCTACGAGTATATATTATTCTCAGTAGTAGTTTCGATTATATATTTTACCCAATTTATGTTTTGTGCAATGCATGTCTTTGACAATAAAATTAACATAGCAATCAAAGGGAACGAAAAGTCTATCATTAATTCAGGGGAAAGCAATTACGTAAAGTTTTCTCTCTCCTTAAAGCTAAAGAAGATTAATAGAGTATCTCGGTCCCCAAGAATTGCAGGGCATATACAGTGACGTTCATGTTGTTAATGTCTCAAGTTGATGGTTAAGATATTACGTGGGCCAGCTTATTTGCTGTTCTAAATATTTTTTCTTTACACAGTGTTGGTGGCAATAAAGCACATGACTCGACTGATATGGCAAGCTGTTATCGTAACTTATGGTTTGCAACACTGCGCATGTTGTATAATATGATCTGATGTTTGTAACATTACAGCGTTGACACCGATGACACATTTTATGCCCTTTTTTAAAAACCTCATTCTGTAGTCTTTTCGTAGGTGATAATGTGACCATGCGTGGATATGTAAAAATATCAGTGTGCCAGTTTCTTATTAAAATGCTACTTAAATTGATGAGTTTAACGTCTATATTTGACCAACAAATGTTGTTTACGATTACATTTTGTCCAACATTTTACAAATGAGATTCCGTTTTGCTTCAGCGATGAATTCACCGATCGATGATCCACCGCAATCTGATGTCATTCTTCGGTGTATATACCTTTATTGATATGAGGCTATTTCCACGTTCTTATTGTCTTTACAATAAGGTCGCGATTTGGATAAACTTATGCCAATTGAGGTTGTAGTATGTCCGAAAATAGCATATCATATTGATTCTTGTGTCAGCCCACTTATATTAATTATGTATTCATTTGCACTCTATTCCGGTAAACAGATTTCAATTAAGAATTTTCCTAAGTACATTTTAGCGTTAAAGCGTTGTTAAAATAACGGAAGTTATTATTTTATTAGGTTAAACTGTTAGAAATCTCGAGTTAGGAATTGCTTCATAAACAAACGTGACTTTCGCTTAATGAATTTACTCAATAATCGTTTGATTTAGAAAACATTTAATATTTGTTATACAAATAAGTTTATATTATTGATTGAAATCTAAATATAATATCATAATGCGTTAATTGTATGTTATTGTAAATGGGGCGAATAATAAATATACATATAAATGATTTTTGCCCGTTATTTTTTACGCATATGTTTGAGAAACAGGAAAACCAATGAAATACATTATTTATAGATAATAAAACGCTCATTACATTTTAAGTTAGACCTTTAGAGGAGCACAACTGTAGAAACTGCATTGAATTTGCTGTAGTAATTATTGTGTGATGCCGGGACAAATATACAGACGGACAAAATGTCTTAAAAAATATTGTTTTGGCTTCTATTGCATTTATGAAGTCACCCATATCAATTTTTCTTAAAAATGTGCAGACATTGTTTAATTATAATTTTATTATATTAGTAAGACTAGTAAGATATTGGATATAGTAATAATAGATTTTTTAATGGATGAAGATGGAATGGTGCGTGACACTAATAAAACGATGAGAATGAAATCGGATCAGATGATCCATCGTTGTGAATTCACGAGAATTTATCCATGGCGGTTTCGATTTTCTAGCTTTTCCTGGATGTGTGTTATTAGAAATTACATAACGAACGCTGGGGGTTGTAAACCTTAGTACTAGGTAGTATTAGTTACTTCTAATACTATTATTACGCCTGAACTAATTACCATAAATTAATCTTTATGTTTTTTTGAGTTGACACGTATAAAATCATCATCATCGTTAGCCGTTAACATAAGCGGGGTTTTGCTAGTAGTTGCCACGCTTGATAGGCGGCTTGGCAACCGCAACTAGGCTTTGGTGATGTTTTAAGAAAAACGCTACTACCCCTCTCTCGGTCATTAACACCCTCGACCTATAAAATATATATTTAATTTTATTATTTCAACCGTTAACTATCCACTACTGAATAAATTATTTTTATTGAGTGTCGAATAATTATAGGCTTTTAACAATGATATTTTTGACGCAGGTGTTGCTGGTCAATTAACGAACACGACAAGTAAACGGAATACATTTGTCGGCACGCCGTTTTGGATGGCGCCTGAAGTGATAAAGCAATCGTGCTACGACAGCAAAGCGGATATATGGTCGTTGGGCATTACGGCGATAGAGCTCGCCAAAGGCGAACCCCCAAACTCTGAATTGCACCCCATGAGGGTCCTTTTCCTAATACCTAAGAATAATCCCCCGCAACTCACAGGCAGTTATTCGAAGCCATTCAAAGAGTTCGTCGAGGCGTGTCTGAACAAAGATCCGGAGAATGTAAGTGCTCCTTATATATGTTTGCTAATCCTCTTACTATCCCTTACTTTCCTAAACAAATATCACACTGTCTCTATATTTATTTACAGTGGCTTAAAATTGTATCGTAGATAAGGATGTATTGAATATTGAATTGTATGTAGTATTACATGAAAACCTGTCATTAACAGCAGAACTCTCTCCTGATTCCAATAATGCCAAAACAAGTTCTATTTACGTTAAGTACCTTTGTTGTGCTTGCGACATGCGTTTACTTTCTTAGAAACATCTTTCACTGTATAGAACAACAAAAGTAATGTATAAAATGTTATACATTATTTTTGCTTGTCATACGTGTGTATGACATACATATATAAAGCTTGGAATAAGTTCTTTATTTTTATTATATCTGTTATATAATGTATATTTGGAAATAATGTAACAAAGTATGCACCTTTCTTCATAAGAGGATGCTGACTGGCAGGCGGTCGGATAGTACAGCAATATATCTTAAGTACCTCTCTTAAGTAATTCTTACCGCGATGGACGTGTGACTTCGTACAGGCTTTTATTTCGGGTTTCCCTTCTCTTGCTTCGCTAGATTGTGTTTTGTTTTAGTGGTTGCTGTTTACGTTACTGTGAAAATGAGTAGTAGTAACCTATTTTCGTATTTACTTATTTTTACATCACACGGTGGAACGAAAACTTTAAAATTTAAACACTTCATATATTGCGTTTTCCAGAGGCCGACAGCAAAAGAATTACTAAAGTTCCAATTCATCAGGAAGGCAAAGAAGAATTCATATCTAATGGATCTTATAGATAGGTATAAGAAGTGGAAGGCGCAGAGGAGTGAGGAGAGTGAAACAGAATCAGAAAATTCAGATTCGTAAGTATATTTATTTATAGGTTGTGAAATATTTTGACCATGTACTGTCTAAGAACCCTTGCTCGACGTACCCAATATCTGCATCCATTATCGCATTTCATATTTATTTCATGTTTCATCTGATGTCCTTATTATTGCTCGAACAAACATAGCTCTTTCTTATTTTTAACTATTTAAATAGTTTTTAAACTTGTCTTATATATATAATTTTTGTTTTTATTCTTCTCTGTACGTTGGTATTCTCATAACTGAGGATGGTAGTCTACAACAGGTTTTCACCATCATCATTATATCAGTTTTTAATTTTCCACTGTTGAACATAATCTCCCCTTAAGGGGTTTTGCCTGTATTTGTCAAGCTTGGCCGGCGGATTGACAACCGTAGTTAGGCTTTGGAGATGTTTTAAGAGGGACGCTGCTGCTAATTCTTTGCTCTCCATTACACGCGTCTTACTACACTCGCCGGAAAGGGGTGTCCTATTCTATGACGGACCAACAGTTATTACCTTCTTATAAATAAATGGTCCTCCTCCATCTGTTTCTCCAGTTGACCCCAGTAATTGATGGAAAGATTGTCACGTATTCCTATTCAGCGCGTTACGTGCTTTTATTTTAAGCATTACAAATTTCTGGTTCCAGCGAGGAGTGCAGTCGCGGCGACGGTGAGTCGGACGAGTCTGGATGGATCATGACGGTGCGTGGCGGTGCGACCGCTAGAGCACTCCAGTCGCAGCCTCTGCCGCCGCTGCAGCCGCTGCAATTGCCAGATGATAACAAGCGACGAGTGCCCGCTGAAGATGCTGGTAAGTGTAACATTATATCATTTAGAATACATAGTTGATTTAGTGAGGATACTTCTCGCACTAAACTCTTTCTATAATACCATATTTATTTACTATATTCTCTCTTAATAAATAGCTTTTGGAACTTTCACGAATATTACAAAGCTGATGGTGATATGTTATCTAAACTAAATAGATTTGAATTTTTGTTTGTAATGTATAAACTCAAAGACTACTGTTATTAAAAAAAAAAAAATGTATTTTAAAATTCTTTTATAGCCACATTATCAGCAAGTAACATGGATTGCAATTTATTTAAAAAAAACCGTTCGAATCCAGGGCAAGTCGTTAGATTACGATATAGTACCATATAAAAAACATGGTATACACTGTAAATATAGTATAAAATAACTGGCTTGTACGGTGGTTGCAGCGATCCCGTCGCCGACGTCGCCGGCGGCGCCGCTGCCGAAGCAGAACGGCGCGGTGCAGGCGCAGGTGCCGGCGCGCGAGCCGCCCGCCGCCGACAAGCCGCCCGACAAGCCGGCACCGCTCAACAACAACGACAAGCACGCAGTCAGTACAAATGCCTCTGTGTACAACAACACTTACCTGATTTTTTTTTTTGGATGATAATGGAATGCTAACCCTGCCTGAGCTAACAGTTACGTTGGTGAAGCACCAATGAGGGATGGAAGCAGGTTCCTTAGACTATTGTGACGAATTCAATAAGAATTAATCATGATGGTTTCCAGGTACAACTGCGTGGAAGTCGACCTGATAGGTTATATTGCTAGCAATGGGGTTGCTATTTCCTACTACTAACAATCCCTATCCCCCATACTAACCTGTTAGGTCTACCTCTACATGGTTCCCCTAAGATCCTACATGGTTCCAATAGGATGGTTAATTTTTGATGAATTCATCACAATGGACTTACAGACCTGTTTTCATCCTTACCACATCAGCTCTTACTGTCCCGTCAACGTATACGGACAGCGCAGGCGGGTTACTATTGTATTTTCATGACATTAAAGGAAATACAGCACTAACATCGGCTTCTCTCTCCGGGAGGGGGAGAGGAATTGTAAGTAATGGAGGCCGACTTAATTTTAATTTGTCACAATGGATTAACGACTTGGTTTCATCTTTGTCTATCACCACCATTCATTGCCCCATCATCGTCATCATCATCATCGGTGCTCCACTATCCTATATCGGTAGCGTAGGCGGTGTTACCATTTTATTTTTACAAATAAAAAGACCTTCCTCCGGGAGGATTGTTACAAATGGTGATTCTCTTGGAAACCATTTCCAAAAGTTCCAAAATTCCCAAAGGTATTTCTGTGCAGTAACATTTATGTTTACATATTTACAGGCACGGCAGTCGGTGCAAGCGTCGGTCGAGCAGCGAAACATCAAAGAGAGGGAAAGAGAGCGAGCAGAGAGAGACAGGGAGGAGAGAAAGGATAGACAAGAACACCAATCCTCGAACAGGGACAGTGTAGTTTATAATAAAGCTGTAAGTTTATTTATTTACTCATTGATTACAACGATGTCACTACAGGTCTTGTCTAATGAGATAGTGTTTAATATTTATAATAACTATATGTGTGATCTTATATAGCATATTATATTTATGTGTATATTATATGCAGTAACGTAACAATAGGGCGATAGAGTTAGCAAAATATCATTGGTCCCTGGCCTAAGAAATAATCAAACATGTATTGCATAATTTTGAAAAAAAAATTGTATTTATTCATATTTAGAATTGTAGCGTATTAATACAAGGACATGGCAGACTATGGGGGGGGGGGCTATGTTCAGCAATGGACACGTAGTGGCGAGATGATGATGATGATAAACGCAAGAACATACACAAATTATACAAATAAATTATCAAGATTTCAACAAGCTGTTTCCAAACAAAACCAAAAAATGGACTCATATTTAGTGATATACAAGTACGTAAATGAAACTACAATATTGAGATTTTTTATTTAAAATGAGGGCCCCATCCTATGAATTTACCATGGGCCTCGGATGGTATAGTTAAGCCAATGACTGCCAGTTTTTAGTATGGACAATTGAATAATATTTATATTATTACCAGATGACCTGGCAAACGTTTTGCCTTCTATCCTCACGTAGTGGTCCCATTTTTTATTTATCAGGATAAAATTTATCATATCTTTCTAGATGGCGCAAACAGCAAACATTTACATAACTTCATTATAATACGTTAAGTGCTGTCTGAGATTAGCGTAAATGAATAATGCGACATGGGTTTTTTTTATATATTAAGATGTAAAAGGCTTTTATCTGTATTATATTTATCAAGCCATACTTTAGAAATCAAACAAAATTATTACAGGAGAGGTATTTTTTTAATTCCATACAGTAGACCGATTTTTTTGTGAAAATGAATTATGGTATTTTGATACCATATGATGATGATAGTATCTTATGAAAAAATACTAAGTAATAATAATATTTTGTTGTTTGTTTGTTTAAATTTAAAGTTGATGTTTATTGTTTGTATTTTCAGGCAACACCGTTGGATCACAGAGGGGCGAACAGCGAAGAGAACAAAGCGCGAAGACACCCCTATCTGCAGCAACTTATCTATCCACTACTTAACGAGGTATGGTAACTCTTCTATAATAAAAATTAGAGATCATTTAAGTAATAAGTATGATCTGTCGGTTTGTTTAAAATATATGCATAATGTATCCCCATTGTTCATAAAAATATAACATAAAAAATAATTTTTATTCAAGCAAACTTAATTATTAATATATTCGAATATTCATTTTTTTTTTATGAATCTGTGTTTGTTTCTTTGTTACCTCTTGGTGCTTTAAGGGTTCAACTATCAGGTGTGCAATTTGGGAAGATGGCTACTATTTATCACAGTTAATAATTTCGATCACGCGAATATCTTCGTCATGAAATACTCAAAAGTTTGTTGCTCTTTATACACGAGCATACAGCCTTCCTGATGATAAGAGGGTGTTGCATACACAATGTGTTGAATTTGGAAAGACCACTTCTAGATTTTTTTATACCACTGAGGTGGCAAACAAGCATACGGCCCACCCTATGGCAAGTGGCTACCATGGCCTATGAACACCTGCATTACCAGTATTTTTTTTTATGGGTGAAAATTATGGAACCCTGCCTGCGTTGCCGAGCACCAGTGAAGGGTGATAGATGAGAATGAAAGCCCATCATGATGAATTCATCTTAGTTTCCGGGGGAACCGCGAGGAGGTTGACCTGGTTGGGTATATTGCCAATGGGATTCTCAGTCTCCATTACTAAAAACCCCATGCTGTAATCTTTCAAGATGGTATATCAAGATAAAACATACATCAGATTAAATTAGATCTTCAGATACAATTGTGGCAACTACATGCAATTTGGTGCAGTAGTTTTTACATAATGGCGGATCAAACATACAAACAGAATTTCAAAAAAATATTGTTATGGGTTGTTTTGTCCATTTTAAGACCCTTCATATTTTTATGCTTAAATATCTCCCATGCACAGACATTGTCTAGTTACAATTTTATTATATAATGTTGTTGTATATCAAAATATTTATTTCATTTACAAATTGATTTTCTTAGACCAATGCACCGCCATTTACTCTTTCTCTCTGTTTAGCGTAGCGGTTGATTGGTAGAGAATGCCGTGAGGTACTAAGTACACCTGCCCTGTAGACATATTTAAATGTGTGCGAAAGTATTAACAAATAAATATTAGTAAGATAGTACTAGACGATCCATCAAACGCTTGGTCTCATAAAAAATTTCGGAGATCATCGTGAACTTGTGAACGTACATCGTGCGTTTTTATATATTAAGATGTTGTCATTAAACATTTTTCTTTATCAACAGTTGTCCCGTAAGCACGGCGCAGGCAGCGCGGCCGCCATCGAGGAGTTACGACGGGCGTTCGAGGTGGCCGAGCGCAGCGCGCCTCACCTCACGCGCGCCTTTGTGCAGCAGGTACTATTCATGCGGACTCCAAGATATGCCACGTTACACAACGCCACATATCGTTACGCCACACACTGCCATTCTATTCGACACACTGCCACTTTACACCACACACTGCTATTCTACGCCACACACTGCCATTCTACGCCACACTGCCGTTATACGTCACACACTGCTATTTTACACTACAAACTGCTATTCTACGCTACACACTGGCATTTTACTCAATATACTGCATCTCTACGCCACACACTGCCAATCTACGTCACACACTGCTATTCTGCGCTACATATCGTATCATTATGAATGTATTTTGATAATTGTTTATTTTTCTGAAAATAATTTCTTCTTGTACACAAGTGATTATTTTTGTCATTATTTATTTGGTTTTCTCTGGGGGAAAAATATCCATAAAACTTATAATATGGTTGCCCAGTAGAGATAGCTTTTAGCGATAAAGACTTAATCCTATCTCTATCTCTCTCCTATCCTTATTTTTGATCTTTTTTTTGCTAAATATATATTTAGATATTATTGGGGGTGGACAATAAAAAATATTTATTACGATGTTTTTACTTTGCAGGTGGTACAGAGGGTGGCCACGCAGTCCCACCAACCTTCGACCCCCTCACACAATGCGTCTTCACAACAGTGGATGAGTTAGGTATGTGACACATAGTTTGCAATTGATTGTTTTTATTTTCATGTTCTTATAATATGTTGTATGTACATCAATCCATATAAAATTAGTCGCAGATCCCCAATGTTTTCTGTTACCATTTATACAAAATATATAAACAAGTTTCTATAACAATGTGTTAAATGAGACGAAACGCGACATACGTCAGTTCCTGAGCGTGGGAACATTTGATAAATACCTTTGAATCAGGAGCAATTTTTTTAATTATGATATAATTTTTGTGCGCTATGGTAAACACGTTAATAGCATGTCTAATGGAAAGTGGTCATCGCCGCCTATGGGCATGAATGGCCCCATAGTCATTACAGAGTGTACTATGACGCCCACAAATGTGATAATTTCTGAGCAAATGTGAGAAATATATATTATTATCATCTGCAGGGACTTATAATCTCTGGGCGGCGCCTCTGCTACACGCCGCCGCCAGTTCAAACACCGCCACCTTATCTCTCGCTGCACCACACGTCACCCGATCTCTGGATACTGACTGTCCGTATGTCTGTAATTTCTGCTGTCGCGTCGACAGTGCCATCTGGATACTTTGTGTGAACTATCGTCCATTCTCGGCGGTATAATCTTGCCTAGTAAACGTAGGGCCAAGAATAATTGTGATTAAAATCGTTTGGCATACATAGCAAGGAATCTTTCTAAATTCACCCTGAGTTTCAACTTGAAATTCATCTGAGTGTTACAGATTTTACGCGTCCGCTTCTATACGTGAAATCTTTTTATTTTCTAGTATTTCATTAGTATCTTTGTCGATATTAACTGCTATTTTTTGTATGTTAGTTTATTTTATGAGACAATTCAATATTTATGATCGAATACCAGGATTTTAAACAAATTTAATCGAGTAACACCTAAGTAATGTGCAATAGTTTAGGGTATTGTAAATATGTTATTACGATTGTGATACTATATTGTTTTTCTAAACAATAAATCAGACAAGTTTACAATACAAAAAACTGTCATGTTAACAGATAGAATTGTTTAAATTTCGACTTTCAATATAAAATTTATTTTAACTGCCGTACGAGATCATTGTTAGTCAAAATTACTGTCGAATGATAAATTGAACGTTTTATACAAAAAGACGAATTTTGATTAAATATTGTAATTATTTATGTCCGCTTAATTTACATTTTAAATTCGGCGATGCCCGACTAGTTTCGAACTCCGTAGGAGCCCTAATTCATGAACGCGGTTCACGGCTGTGTCGTGAGTATACATCGCTCGATTATTTTTTTGATTTCATTTTATTTTTAATTATTTTATTTAAAATTTTCGACCGGCGACCATGTCGTGTGAAATACACATGAAAAATACGGATTGTATTGAAAAATACATTGAACCTTTCTTTTTTAAGTTAATAGCAACATAATGGAGATCATAGCATTTCATTGTATTTGTCTTTTAAGAGGTAAGCAGAGAGAATTAAGAATCAAGGGGTCCTCCAAGGCTAGAGCATGTAAACGATGTGTTTGCATCTTCATATATTGTCATCGGACAATACTTTTGATTAACTACATTTATTAATGTAGAACCAAGTTGTAACTCTTTGAGTAATTTAATGAAAATATTACCCAACAGGCACAGTATAAGTGCTATACGAATCGCTTTCTTAATACTAGGTATTATGCTACACGTACACGTAAAAGAATGAGAGGCCAAACGTGTTGTATCGTTCTTTCTTATGTGTAGTTGAGAATTCGTTTCTAATTTATACAAATTACCGGTCGGGTTAGTCCTCCTAAGCAAGTGATAAACGAATCTATCAATAGATGCCTTAGAGCTGCCATATTCACGAGATAGAACAAGACAGCAACTTCTGATGTCTCGTTTTTTCTTATACGCGCGGTAACAGGTATGTATTTACTGATAGATTTGTTTCCTATTTGTTTAGAAAGGCCATATCAGTGAATAGATTTGGATCACAATTGTAATTTCTATGCTGATGTTACTTTGAACAGGTTTACTATAAAATGGACGATATATACCTCTCAGATAGTCGTGAATCGCATTAGGATAATGCGCAAATAAAGTCACACTTAGATTTCCTTTGCATGTTTTTCCTTACATATTTAAATAATCTTGAAAGCTAACATCTTAAATTTATTTTTATCATAGCCGTCGAGAAATTTCTAGACGCTCGTAGCCAGTAACGTATTGGGGTATTCGCTATCACGCCTTTGTGAATATTGAATGGAGACGCATCGAACATTGAAAATGGCCTAACACAAAAAGCATTCATTTGGATTTAATATTTATAATAGTCATTTAGAAGCCATTTTTCAGAACCATTTTATTTGTCTTATGCCATTTTATATGCCGAGCGTCGACGCGTGTAGCAACAGAGTCACAAAGTTGCAATGCCATAGTGTTATAGATAAAAAAATATAACATAATGAATACTTAAAGATGGTTATGTCTTAACATATTTTATATTGTATACGTTATTTATGTAAATATCACTTAGTTCACACCACGCATCATGTTATTGTCATGCTAACGACTATTGATGGTTATTCAGTGTATTGAACTATGTTTTGTTCTATCCGTTCTATATAAAGTTTTAGCGAATGTTTATTTATACTGTATTCGTCACCATTTGTTCGTAGATGTACTAATGTGGTCGAGAGGCCGTGTGTTTAGTTTTCACTGTGAGTCGTTATTATTACGTAGTATAATTATTGTCAGCGGCTGTTTGTTGAATGCTTGAGTTTGTTTTGCAAACGTATTGGAAATGTAACTTTAAATATTCGTGGAGAGCTGTTATGCTACACTTCGCCAATATTTTGCCATAATTTTTTTTTTCTAAAATATTTTTTACTAACATGAGTTTTTTGTATAGTCTGATTTTTGTTGTGATCACTGTTCTAAATTCTAACATATTGTATGTTTTAAAGAGATGTTATGAAACTTTGTGTACATTCTGTTTTAAGTGTCATTCCAGACAAAAGACAGCATTGTCAGCATTTATAGATTTTATTGTTTTGTAACTTGTGTTTTCGATTCAACATTGTGAGTTTTGAACATCTGTGAACTACATACATACGTTATAAAAATTGTTATAAATTTCTTAGATTAATTATCAAAACTTAGTTTTTAATTATGTATTTGGCTACTTACCGATTTAAATTAATTAGTTACTAATATTTTATTCTGAAAATAATGTGAAAAAAAAAAGTTTTATTTCTATTGATTTTACACGAAGAGAAATAAGTGGTTGTAGGGCGAATCGGAAAAGTGTATTTGTGGATAAAGTATTCAGGCACCAACGACCATTCGGTGTCGATATAAATAAAAACATGCTTAACATGCGACAATATTTAGCAATTGGGAGTATTTAAGATATATTATTATGAAGACAACAAAACAATTATTAATGCTGTGTAAAAATGTAAACCTTATTATAAATGTATAAATTGTGTAGTATAATATAAAGAAGCTGTTTATGAAGTGTTCTTATAAGCATATGGAGAGTAGATAATGTCTTTCCAATTAACCTATCTCTGTGCAGTCCGGAGTGGGGCCCAAACTATTTTCAACTAGTTTCTAGTGTCCTGATTCACCTTGCTGCTGTTTGAACGTAGAAAGGTTACTAATATTGCCTCTGATGTGTAGTATAAGCAATGGGTTTCACTCCCGACTGGCATATTTTGCCTTGACTTTTTGTTTCGTCATGTGTATCGAGCATGGGAGATGTTAATTTCGATGAATCAAAAATTATTTTTCCACTTGATTACTTACGGTAATTGAAGCGATTAGTGTTAGAGGTGGGCGATAATTGTTGATTATTGATAAAAATTAGGTGTTCATGGCATTGGATCGTAGAAAGACATGTTCGACATCACCGCGCTGGGTGGTTGAATAGAGGCGACGAGGCGACCTCTAGCGGCCGCTATTCAGGCTGCCAGTGCCCGGTAGCGGAGCGTAGTTGTTATTGTCATCAGATGTTGGAGAATGTAGAGGACGACGTCGTTCGGTTCATGGGTATTTGTGATCATAAATGCATAGTTAAAATAAATTCTATATTATTATAATAAAGTCTGTATTGAAACCGGTAGTTGTTCTCTGTTAGATGTGTTGTTCGCGGGTCACTTTTTGCGAATTCACTCGTATATATTAGCTCGTGGCTCGACGGCGTGGTATAAATATCAAGCGTTGATATCGGAGGCTAATTAAAGATATGGGAGTGCACATGGTATGTATGCACATGTGTGCGGATTCCTCGAAACGTGACGCGCGAAGCAACACCGCATATTGAAATAAAGTCACCGGCCCTCCACTCGTGCACCAAGTTGAAGCTAACGGCGCGTACCATTAGTGTAATGGTCAATTAATGTTACGGCGTCTGTCATTCTAACACGTTTACGTAGGAAACAAATTTGACTCGGAATAAAGAAGTTATTTAATTTTGGAAGATTTTGTTTTATTTACCTTCTTCATATTATATTTATCTGACATAATTAGTTAAGTAGTTGAATATTCAAATCATACACATATATATTTTCATACAGATGGAGAGATAGAGAAATTTTAAAATTGCCATGAAGTTGGTCAAGTAATCATTGATGAAGATATTAGTTTTCTGGTCAAATAAAACGTAATTGAATACGTATTTTCATGAATAAGCAGTGTGGTGTTGAGTAAAGGTTTCATTGAGAGATTATTGAGAATGATCAAAAATATCTATCTCTCTACTTTTGACATATAATTGATTGTAGTAGGTATTTATAAATGAAACCAAAGGAATGATTTTCGATGTTTTATTGACTAGCTTAAAATTACACAGATGATATAAATTTACAAAAATAGAAATGATTACTATTAATACTTACTGATCGTTTTTTATGCTTGTTAATATTATCATAGACAACAAATATAGAAAAGCATAACTTAATCTATACCTTTTTCTATTTTAGAATTTAATATAAATTAATTAGATACATGATAGGGATATTAAAATGAATGAGATACACGACATAAATTACTAAGTATGTGATGTATGATTATTTATATTTATATACAAAATAAAATTGTCCCAGACAAATAAAAATAAGCACATTATATAAAAAAAAAAAAATAATACGTCAAGAACATAATTATTACAAATAAATTCACATTGATATAAACTTTTCTTGTGTTAATTATTTCTGTAATAACTTGAAACAATGAATTAGGTATCTACATATAAAAAAGTTGGGACCACCCAAAAGTGTATTTGCACACACTTGCCCACGCGCAGTAAAATTCCTTGCCTAATGAATATGAATGCAGAACTGAGGGTGTTCTTGAAAGATATTTTAAATTTTAACCAATCAGTAATGAATATGCATCCTCGAATATACTGGTAAATATAAATTTTGATTTCTTTATTGTTCCATCGATTAATATAGTAAAATAATAATACTTAATTATACGTATCTAGTTTCATTAGTAACATTATATACAATTAGTTATTAGGTAATATATTCTTATCTCCCTATAGACGGGTACTTCATATAATATTTACAATAGTACCCAGGATTTAGACAAAATTGATGTTAAAAGCGCCTTTTTAAAAATACAAGAAATATAGAAAGAATCACGATAAAAAAAAGAATAACTTGGGATTCCCATGCTTATTAAAATGGTGTACCATTTTCTTACACCATTTTAGTAATGCATGTTTGAATTTTTTCGTCTTTTCTCATCTTGTCACCGTGTCAAACTACTTATTAATCAACATTGATCATTTTTATTCTTTTTAATCCGTTGTTTATATTAGTAGTATTATTTAGCGATTCAACGAATAGGTACAACACAAATATTTGTATTTGATAAATATTTTCTTTTTTTTTTGAAGTTTTCGTAAAAACAACCAGTTTGGTGAAGATATTGAAAAAAATTGAAATAATCAGGAAAGTTACTTTTTATAGTATGCTCATATTATACACAAATAAAATATTACCAAAGGAACTCCTCGGTTAACAGAAATTCTCGGTGTCAAAGGTTATTATGTATAATAAAAAGAAAAAAAGAAAAATGATAAATTTTTATTATTACATTACTGGGCAACCTTCAACTTCTTGGAATCTTTTATTTTTTTAAACCTTTATTTTATATTCTATTTTTAGTGGATAGGTAGGTAAATACCTGTTCGTTGCATCACTAGTTTTATTTAACCAGTAAGTAAATCGTTCACGGTAATTTTGATTGCAAATTATCATTAATTATAAAATAAAATAAGTACAAATATTTTCACAAATTATTCTGAAACATATTAGGTATCTATATGGTTAATGCCTACATACACAAATATATACAAGAAATTAAAATTATACTAAACAGTTCTATATAACTATTCTTTAACTAAATGTTACTTCTCTAGTCATATAATACATTATGGGGTATCTAAATATAATAATTCAGTAAGTACCTATAGATAAATAGGTATAAGTATGTGTATACCTGATTATTATCTATAGATTAATGAAATAAAAAAATGCATTTGCTACAAGTCTTTAAATATGAGTAGTACCTTTGTACCTAAAATGTTTTCAAATATCGATTGATGTTCTATTTTTTATTTTCATATTTTGTAATACTTTTTGATTAAATACTGTCAACTTTGGTGCACCAATGCCAAAAAGCAAAAACAAATTTCTATAGTTATTATTATATATTATGAAAAATATTACCAATTATGTCTAAAAAATATCTACTAAAACGTAAACAAATAATTTCTCATAATTTATCTTTCATAGGAACTTGTTTGCTGATATGGCAAAATAATAAAAAAAAAATGCTATCATAAATTGTTGCGACAATTGTAAAACGAATACAAAGACTCACTATGCTCATACCTACTGTCAAGTTATAAATATACTCATGAAAAACAAACATGGAACCAAAACGTATCATTGTTATTCTATTAATTATATTCCGCTTAGCTCTGCCTAAGTAAATTATGTCTTCGAGTTGGAAAAAAACCCGTTATTCACGTGCCGTTGGTCTCCATCTCTCAGAATTATTGTGCCCACGGCTGCATACTGTGACACCCACACATCCATATAATTCACTAACAACTATTCTACTTTCTAGATGCTTTCACTCTAACTGCAAATCATTTATCAATCAGTTTTTTCTACCATCCATTTTTATGATAATGGTAACTTTGGATATTATACTATGACATCAGAATCACGTGTAATCTATTCAAATGAACATATAGACATATTGTCTGTTTGTCAACATACTGTCGTGAACAGATTGTTTATATCAAATATAACTTGTACATTGGGCGATGAGTCACTCTTACCTAATCGTCTTATATATCACAGAGCGTTACATACACATTTACACTCTACATTATATATGTATAACGTAATCTAGTTTGTGACACGAACACCGGACGAGTGCAATTTCTTCATCATAATATCGTGGTGTTGGATCACAGGCAGTGTTGGAATGGGCAGCGGTCAACAGGACCGCAATAAGGGGACTAAAGTGGATTTTCAAAATGGTCGATAATTCTCATATCGTCTTTTGAATACCATTTATTGACCCCATAATCGTCCATCTCGATGAATCAGCCAGAAGGTAACACCTATGGAAAGGAAAAATAACACATTAATATTACGAGGGAAGAGCGCATGCCTGTGTGAGTCAATTGTGACGCAGAATGTGACTCAACCGTGTTAGTTCGCGGTCACATCTGAAAGTCAAGTAAACTACTGTTTGCAGATGCCTTAGTGAGATGACGTATGTGAATTGACAACCAATGAACTTATCAGGAACATTAATTTGCCTCAGGGTTTTGCAATGAACGGAAAGAAAGCGGATGCTCGTTGGCAAAAAAAGTGGCTCGTACAAGAGTAACGAACATTGACCTCCTTATAAAGACTTGGTCTATTTTATAATAAGCATTTAATAACGTTAAACTTTCGCGTTGCATGGTTTATGATTTACAAGAGAATAAATATTGACACAAATTATTACTTGTTTTATAGTTATAATTTATTAGATAATTATGCCTTAAGTAAAATAAGTAGGTAGATGTATCTTTATATGTTGTTTTTTTTTTGTTAAGGAGTATAACTTTTACACAAATTAATTTGATGTATAACTGGCATATTATTATTTTATTAGAATGAACTAAAACGATAAATGATAATTCTAAGACAAGCGCGGAGGTAAGTACGTCTCTGACACAAAATTATTTGTACGCCGATTGGTATTTCAATAATTCTATAAAATATTAAAATAGCTACATATTTTTGTAAGATCTTGTTAGTATTCTATAATAAAGTATTAATACGAACTTATTAACGATAAGTTTGTGTAAAGATAAAAATGTTTATCAAGTGAGTTTGGGCACAGTATGGGAAACTCTAAATTTTATTTTGGTTTTTTCATCTCAATGCCCTTTGGAAAATGGTCAGTGATTATTAAGCACTCCTTTAAAAGTATACTAACGATTTCTGTATAAAAAATATGAATCAAGAGCAGAATAAAATGTCTATATTGTGATATAGTCTGCTTGGTCACTTTTACTTAGTTTACTTAAAAATTGTTACCTCAGTTTTGCTACGTCTTAGAATTTCATCCATCATCGGTGAATATTGCAGATAATACGATTACAGACAGAGGTCGTGAGTTCAATTAAATTTCGAATTGCAGTATGCATCCGTCCAACTGCTTATACCAGAGGTTCTCAAACTTGTTTTGGGCACTAGCCCCTTTGGAAAGGAGAAGATATTTCTGGTTTCATATTTATTAAATTATTTACTTAACTAGCTTTTACCTGTGACTTTGTCGGCGTAATCGAGATATGTTTACTGACCGGGATAATTTTTTTTATTCTCATATATGTGTATACTAATTTCATAGTTATTGATAAAGCCGTTAAGGCGCTATAAGGTTACAAACAAGTAAAGTCACTTTAACATTTATAATATTAGTAAGGATGAAAATCACATAAAAATAGGTGTAGTTTTTATACTATTGATTCTTATGTAAATTGAAATATAATATATATAGGAAATATATATTATATTTCCTATACTATTAAGGTTAAATTCAGCACTCATTCTAAATTTTATTATTGATCTACCTAATAAAACTATTTTATTTTTTGCATTATGTGACACACGAAACTTAAATGCTTCTTTTTGGGATTTATTATGGTTCAATCCTTGAGAACATATAGAGGAATCTTACAGCTTATGTGAGAACGCTTTGAGTATCAATGATTGGATTATACAATTGGCTAACAGAAATTACCCACCCACTCGGTCAGTACAAATAATGTATTCTCATTAAGCAATTCGTGCTTAATGATATCAACTAGGTATCTTACATACTCGTATATAATATATTAAAGTTACATTACTGTTATACGATTTTGTGGTTTCGCAAAGTCGCAGTTGTAAATTAATGGATTGGCACACCTCGTTATGGTTGCCTTACCTGCCATGCCAGCCTCGTCTGAAATACTATAAGTACATCTAGGCTGTTTAATTATACGCACAGTTCTATAAAGCGCCAGCGAACTTGTTTCTCAGCATGTTAATTTGCTTTTGATGTTGCTTTACTTTATGCATTATGTTGTTGTATTATGAAATCTTCATCAGTAAATAATTTTGTTTATGTTGTTTATTTTTATTTGTGTATACAGACTATAGACGTGTTTATGTAGACTATAGACGATTATTTTAAGCGTCAAAAACCGAATTTGTTTCTGGCCGTTGCTTTACGATAACAAAAGTGCGAGAATGTGTAGAATCTATTACAAAACTTAATAAAAAAAATTATGTGTGAATTTTGTTAGTATCGTAAATTTAATTTGAAATTAATTTTATTTAATTTGAAATTAATTTTATTTAATTTGAAATTAATTTTATTTAATTTGAAATTAATTTTATTTTATTTGAAATTAATTTTATTTAATTTGAAATTAATTTTATTTAATTTGAAATTAATTTTATTTAATTTGAAATTAATTTTATTTAATTTGAAATTAATTTTATTGCAAAATTAATTTTAATTTTATTGTTTAGTTTAAACTAAACAAAACAATACTTCTAAAAGGAAGAAGTCCTTAATTTGTCTGAATTTGTTCTGCCCTATTGATTTATGATAAAAAAATAGCGAGAATTTGTAGATATTTTACATGATACCTAACACAATAATTATAGGTTCAGTTCATAAATAAAATTAAGTAAAACAATGCTTCGAAACAGTAAGTGGCTTTCATTTTGACTGTATTTGTTTGTGCCCTCGCCTTAAAATTCTTTTGAATTTGTAAATATCTAATAAGAGTATTAAAAGTTTTATAGAGCATATCTAAAGCAAGCAAAATTGTATCTACTAATTATGACCCAGTACCATAGCTATAGTTATCACTTGTATAATAATATAGTTTGCATTTATTTAATTATTATGTTGGTATGCAGACGCCTGTATGTATTATCCTTAATGATCTATTAACAGGTGCTTAGATAACCAACTCCAGCGATGAATAAATAAAGACGTGACCATAAAACGTAGCTGCTTATTAAGTACAACACAGCATCCATTCATATAGGAACGACTCGTTAGAAATTAGTGAGTGAGTAACTACATGATTGAACTATGAACATTTTCTCATAATGAAAAGCAATAAATTGATAATTTTTATGTTGATGGACGAAAAAGAAATAGGTTTTCATTACATTGTCAGTTATAAATACCTATGTATTTTGTGTTCTGGGATGCAGACGGACAAGAGTTCTTTGTTTGAGTACAAGACATCCTGCGACTGGATGACCTGCTTATGACCTCTTATCGTAACTTTGTAAGTTCGTCTCGGTATCGAATGGGCACTGGACGCATAAATGTCCAGAAGGTCTTGTCCGTCTTTGTTGAATTCAGAGTTATTTTTTTAAATTAAAATTCCAAGAATATCAACGGTTTGGGTAAAGTAAAAACAAATGTTGTGTTAATAATGAAGTATTGTCATTTTGTAAAAGCACTAAAAAGTTTTAAATTTTTTCTTTAAATTTTGATTTTAGCTGTGGCAAAACAAATATGGTCAACAACCAATGATTAACACGAGCGTTGGTATTGTTTTTCGATTGTTAAGATATAAAATAGAATTTGTTACGATGTCACAAAAAAGTAGTCGAACTTGGAACGTAATTTTAAGGTAATTAATACGTTCTACGTATATTTAAATAGTTAATTACTTGTTAAACTCTACATAATTTCAATAAATTATGTACCATGTACGATCGTCTCTGTCATAGACTATTAGAATAGCTAGATATGTACACATTTATATATTTTTTAAGTATAAACTTTTAAGACTTGTATGTGTATCTATTTTTTATTGTAAATTGTAAGATTAACATCTACTACACTATATATACAAATATTTCTGTAATTTTCATGCAATTTTTTCGATTGTAAATAATTTTGATAATTAGTTTCCTTATAAAATGCTAATAAATATTATTTTTTTATTTGTAAAATAATATTATTAAATATTTAAATAAGTACATAGCTACAAAACCTAGATACATGATTATTCTTTATTTAAATAGATATATATAAATGGGATTTTAATCATCATATTTGTTGAAAGAGTATGTATTATTTTATTATCACAAACCAATAAAAATACAAACATTATATGCTTATGTATGACTCAATTTTCTGATGATTTATAAAATGGCGTGTAACAGTAACGCACAGCTGGATGAGACCGCAAACAACTAAACGTAAAACATTTGTTTTTCAAAGTCGACCTATATATGTGATAAGCTATATCTTATTTTACAAAAAAGATTAAATAAAATTACATTTACCTTTATTTTAAATCAGTAGACACTAGGTTTTTCTGAATGTTTTTTTTCCATTTATTATGATTAGGGAATTTATGCCTACTTAGAAATGCTATCGTTTGTGTATTTTAATCTAGGAATATATTTTAATTTTGGAATGTTTTTATTTCGATAACATTTTGATAGTTATTGCAACAGGTTTACTGAAACATATGTGGGTGCCTACTGAACCACTCCATAGCGTATGCCTTCTGTAAGATATCTTTCAAGACTTTTTTGAATTGATTCAAAATATTTATCGAGGGATCAATATCATCACATATAAATATATATTTGCTATGTAAATAAGCATATATAAAAAATCAGTAATGTTTTAAGATACTAAAACGAAAGTACCATTATAATAAATTTAAATTACTTACTATTATTTAATGATTTCAGTAAATTATATAAACAAAAAATTAACTTAAGTTTGGTATGATCGCGGCCATTGACTTAGTTACAGAGATCACGACAGGTGCTACCGCTAAACCGGTCACCGGTTTCTTTAAATAATGGCCTGCATCGAATTTGGTAATATGGTACATTCATTTTGTACCAGAATTTTGGATTTTGTTTCACTAAAAATCGACTTTAAAATACAAAATTGATTTATTCAAATAAATTACTGAAATGGCTGTAAAGTAGATGAAGATATGTTATCTTAAATTAAAATATATTTTGATATTCATGATTATGGAAGCTTCTATTCAAGTATTTCTACTATTTCAATAATTTAATTCTA